GATTTTTATATCCTGATGTAGGAAAGAAAGGGAACTTTATTATTATCATTATTACAAACCTTACTGGGTCTGATAAGACTTAAATACCTATGGTACGATAAAATAAAAGTCAGAATAAAGGCTTGTTCTGAATATTTCATGCTATGAAAAAGTTGGATTAAGCAGGCATGAGGTTCCCTAAAATTTCAAAATGTGGGGAAAAAAATTTTTTTAGAAGTGATTACGAAAATTTTAGAAAGGAAAAGATTACCTAGCCTGCCTCACTCTCAATCCTGGTGTAAAGAAGTAGTGGGTTTGTTCAGAACATGCTCCCTGGCATAGCTCTTCTCTCCCTGACCTGAAACACCCATTTCACCTTTAGATCCAGCCTGGCTCCCTCCAAAAAGCTTTCCTAACTCCCCAGCTAGGCCTGATTTCCATTTTTTTAAGCTCATATAAAACTTTGTCCTTCCCCTCAATTACTTAATTCCACTTGTAACTAGGTTATTTGATTAATATCCCAGTTAGACGGCAAATCAAGACCACATCTGGCTTTTGCCCAGCATACTGTATCTCTAAAACCCAGCCAGGTGCATGCCATGTAGTTAAGATTAGCACATTTTTGCTAAATGAATAAATGGTAGACATGGGAGGAAAGTACTTTTCATGACAAACAACAATTAAACTGTTGAAGTTCATTACTAGATACCTTGAATAAGCCAGGTTTCAGTGGAGAACGAGAAAATTAGGACAATGAGAAAAAGAAGAAAAAAAGGAACACATGGAAAATAATGGGCATCCAATAACAACAAAAAAGAAATAATCTTAGTTCTTGACTTTAATGGTGTTCTGACCCAAAAAGACACTGCCATGGAATTTAACTCTCATTTGATACTGGGAAATCAGTCCATTTTAAGATGAAGTAACAATAATAATTTCTAGTGTCAGAAATACGAACTTTCCTAACCTGGAGTGGGGGTCAGGGAAGTCTGTTAGAATAATGGCTATTACTTGGAGGTCATTAATATGTACCTAATAATTTTTTAAAATATGATGCATACTATGTCGGGCTTGGATTAAAATTGCTATTTTTCCATTTGTATGTGTCAACTCAAGAGTGAATCACTTCCTGCTAAAAGATGACATAGGTAAACAATAAAGTCTGTAACTGTTTACTTCAGTTAAACTTAGATACATGTGTTCTGAATAGTTTACTGAATACATAAAATGACTACCTTTCAACAGTGTATGATAGCTTAATAATCACTAAAATTTTTTTAAATAATTAATATTACAATCACAGAATAGCCAAACAGAAGAACCTGTTCAATTTTCAAAGCTGAATTCTCTAGGATGACCATCAGTAATTTTATTGCGAGGGGATGGGGGGGAACTACCTCAAAGACAAAATAATAACCACTACGATTTACTGTGATCCAGTTTAATTATTTATTGTAATCTCATCAATGCTGGATAGATTTCTGCAATTGATGGAAAGAAAACAATATATCTAGAAGTTCAAAAAATATCACTATGGCTTTGAAACAACCAATGTCTGCAATTTTGGAACCTTAAGAGCACGTACTGATAAGTTTCTGGTTGCCCAGGGATAGTAACCGTCACCTAGTAGCCTACGGGGTTGCTTCAGCAACTAACTCCTTAGGGGACAAGAGCAGTAAAGAATGCCCTCCGAGTCCATGGAGGAAGTCAAGGAGCGTGAGCTCCAGGACAACTGCATCAGAACCCCCGGCCGTGTCTGCTTATTCGTTCTTAATTTTTTATTATTTGAAGATGTTTGTTTGTTTATTGGTCATAGCCCTTCCTCCCTGTTTGGGGATAAAGTTTTGTAAGTTTTGTTAGTAGAATTTTACATGGCTAATATGATACAAGAGTTTCAAGAAGAAGGCTCAAACCAGTGTTGACTTGACAATATCTATGGAGTACTCATAGAAACAGGAGATAATGTTTACCTCAATCACATTCTCAGTAAGGCTGTGCACACACATACACACACACACACACACGACTAATTACCTTCTTTGGCACAGCTTGGTTTCAACCCAAATATACAACCAAGTATTGTTGTTAACACACATACTGACAATACCTGTAGGGAGAAAAGATAAAATTATATGGTTTCTTTTTTAAAAAATATTTTATTATTTTATATTTTTAGAGATAGTGTCTTACTCTGTTACCCAGGCTAGGGTACAGTGGCATGATCATAGTTCACTATAACCTCGAAATCCTGGCATCAAGGGATCCTCCTGCCTCAGACTCCCAAAGTGCTGGGATTATAGGCAAAAGCCACTATGCCTGGCCTTATACAGTTTCAAAATCCTTT